CTAAAGAGCCTCTTGATGAAGGGGAAAGAGGAGAGTGAAAAAGCTGGCTTAAAACTCAACATTCAAAAAGTAAGATCATGGCATCTGGTCGCATCATTTCATGGCAAATAAATGAGGAAACAATGGAAACAGTGACAGGATTTATTTTCTTGGGCTGCAAAATCGCTGCAGATGGTGACTGCAGCCATGAAGTTAAAAGACACTTGCTCTTTGGGAAAAGAGCTATAACAAACCTACACAGCATATAAAAAGCAAAAAAGCTATGACAAACATATACAGCATATAAAAAGCTGAGACATTACTTTCCCAACAAAGATCCATATAGTCAAAGCTATGGTTTTTTCCCGTAGTTATGGATAGATGTGAGAGTTGGATCATAAAGAAGGTTGAGTGCTGAAGAATTGATGCTGTTGAACTGTGGTGTTGGAGAAGACTCTTGAGAGTCCCTTGGACTGCAAGGAGATCAAACCAGTCAATCCTAAAGGAAATCAGTCCTGAATATTCATTGGAAGGACTGATGATGAAGCTGAATCACCAATACTTTGGCCGCCTGGTGGGAAGAGCTGACTTATTGGAAAATATTCTGATGGAAGCAAAGAGCCAACTCATTGAGAAAGACTCTGATACTGCAAAGATTGAAGGCAAGAGGAGAAGGGGACAACAGAGGAAAATATGGTTGGATGGTTCACTGACTCAATGAACATGAGATTGAGCAAACTCCAGGAGATAGTGAAGCACAGGAAAGCCAGTGTACTGCCACCCACAGGGTTGCAAAAAGCCGGGGACAACAGAGGAAAATATGGTTGGATGGTTCACTGACTCAATGAACATGAGATTGAGCAAACTCCAGGAGATAGTGAAGCACAGGAAAGCCAGTGTACTGCCACCCACAGGGTTGCAAAAAGCCGGACGAAGTGACTGAAAAACAACAACAAAGCAGGTGCTGGACCTTCTTACAAGGTGAGCACTTCCCTCCAACTATGGCACACTTGGGAGTTGGCCCCATTCAAGCTAGAGTCACAAGAATATCTCTCCACCTCTCTAAGCCCCAGCTGGTCCCTCTGCACAGAAGGGCAAAGGGAGAACGAGCTCTCAGAGTTAATGTGGGGACTAAGTGAGTCCTTCCTGGAAAGTTGGAAAGTGCTTTCTGGGGACCTGGCCCCATCGAAAAGTCTGCTGGATGGACTGTGATTGTACTTAGTCATCATGTTCCTCCTTCCCTCAAGGAAGTCTCTGTCTCAGTTGTCTCTGGCCTTTGACCTTGGGCCAAATTGATTCCCATTTGCAAGGTGAGTTGTGAGAGGTGCCCTGTCCTGGGTGAGTGAGAGCAGGGCTCCTTGGGAGTGATCAGTAGTGCCCCAGGCACTCAGATGGCGCTGGTTGGGCTCATTCATTCTTGAAATATACAGGAAGGCCCACAAGGTATAGGCACTTTTCTAGGAACAACCGTCCTGTAATACATTGAGCAGACAGCAGTCCTGCCCTCCAGGGCTTCAGTTCTCCCGGGGGTCACACTGTCACACTGGCCATCACATCTGGGCGTGTCTCCATTACTGTCCATGTGAGGCCTTCCTGGCCTCCTCTAGGTATGGATGCATCCTCCCTTACTCTGATGAGGACAGTGGGCCCCTATACCAGCTGAAATTGTGAGTGGGACTTTGAATCAAGAGGGAGGGACTCAGTTTTCCAAAGAACCACCAAGTGAGATGTGACATGGAGGAGAACTGGCCTCTGAACGGGCAGGAGCAGAAAGCAAAAAGTCCCAGACCCCACAGGGCTGGCCGGGGGCTCAGTGTGGAAGGAAGGCCAGGTCTCTGACTCTTCTGCCCACCTGACTCCCCCAGAGCCATGTCCACCATCCTGGGCACCCAGCTGTACCATTAACCTGAGGGTTTCCACCAGCTCCCAGAGTTTCCCTGCCTGAGGACGCTACTGGCTTAAATAGAGCTCAGGATGGCTGACTCAGACCTGGAGCACCAAACCCAACATCTCCTGGCACAGCTGGAGACCCTGGAGCCCACTGAGGCAGAGGGGGATATGATGGGAGCAAATAAGGATGGGAGGGAGCTGAACCACACAGAGCAGAACCTTCTGAGGCTGGATCTGGGCCAGGAGCAATGAGGAAGCTCAGATCACTATTGTTCTGGACTGCAATCTGGGAAGACTTTCTGGGGCTGGCATCTTTGAGAGATCATTGAGTGGCAGTGAGAAACTTTCTTTTCTGTTTTTGGGAGATACTTGGAAATGCGGTCATATTGATATTTTCTTTCCTTGGAACTACAGCACCAGCTCCAGGAGAAGCTCTGGAAACATCTCCATACCTGAAGCCAACTACACCTCTACTGCCCACCAGAGCTCCAGAGTTAGAGCAAGTCCATTTTTTTTTTTTTAATGTATACTATATTGTTTATGATATAAAGTTCACTTAAAATTTAATAGTTTGATTATCTTAGATTGTACATGTAAATTACAATAAGTTCATTCACAATGTTACATAACCCTATTAAATGTCTCTTTGAGAACATTTTCACTCTTTTCATTGCTAAATAATATTCCATTCAGGAACCAGTATATTTGGCTTTCATCTGTTGATGGACATTAGAGTTTTCACCTTTGGGCTCGTCTGAACAGTGGTGCTCTGAATACTTGTGTACAGACATGTGAATATGTGCTTTTGGGTATTGATGTAGGAGGGGAATTTGGGGATTGACTGAAAACTGTAGGTTTGTCCTTTTGAGAAACTGCTGAAGTGTTATATACAGTGGTTGTAACCATTTGACAGAGAAGGCACTAGTGACCCACTCCAGTACTCTTGCCTGGAAAATCCCATGAACGGAGAAGCCTGGTAGGCTGCAGTCCATGGGGTCACTGAGAGTCAGACACGACTGAGCGACTTCACTTTCACTTTTCACTTTCATGCATTGGAGAAGGAAATGGCAACCTACCCCAGTGTTCTTGCCTGGAGAATCCCAGGGACAGGGGAGCCTGGCGGGCTCCCATCTATTGGGTTGCACAGAGTCAGACATGACTGATGCGACTTAGCAGCAGCAGCAGCAGTACCATTTGACAATCCCCAGAATTTAGGTGTATAATTTCCACTTCTTCATTTGTATTGCAGTTTCCTCTCTCTCCATCCTTCTCTCTTTCTGATCCCTCATTCTAAGGAACAAGCCTGTATATTACAAGTTGCCATATGCAGAGGCATCTGTGGTTTAGCATTGAGACCATAACAGAGCTCTTGGGTCCTGACTCAATGAGTTCACAGTCCTAGACCCCAGGGAGACACTGGCAGAGGCCTCCAGGTGAATCATGGTCAATTCCTGGTCCACAGATAGTGTGAGATAATAAATGTTTGTTGCTTAAGTCACTCAAGATTGGCTAATGTTGTCACACAGAATGGACCACTCACACAGCCATCAAGCATTCAGGCCTTGGCCCCTCCCTCCCCACTGTCCCCTAATGTCCTCCCAAGCTCCCACCAGCCACACTAGCATCCTCTGGCTTCATGTCTTGACAAACACATTCTTTGTGTCCATACACTTGTGCCTTCTTCTAGGATAATTATCCCCAGATGTGTGAATGGCTGGCACCTTCTCATTACCCTGCTGGGGACAGACATGTCCCCTCAGTGCAGCCCCTCATGACCACATTGTGACACCTACTGTTTTTCAACATAGAACTTGCTTCCTTCTGTGTTTCTCCAGTTCCCCCTCCAGACTGTGACCCTGGTGCTTTTTTCATCACAGCCCCCACTGAATGCTCAGGGCACAGCTGGTAATTGAATAGATAAGAGGCTCCATTCCTCCACTGAGAAGCTAGGACGCTAATAGGAGGAGGTATAGGCCAGGTCAGGGGCAGGGGAATGTGTAGGAGTGCAAGGGACACTCTCCTCGCCCTAGTACTGGGCACATCAGCCCTTTGATGGGAACCCCTCATACTACACACCAAGCAGGGGAACCACAGCACAAACCACACCTCTGAGAGACTTGAGGACACCAACACTCCTTGGGCCCCAGGAGGGGATGTGACAGGATCCACGGGAACCAGGGGCTTTGAGAGGGACCTTGAAGAGGCCCTCCACCTCCTCTTGTCCACTTCAGCCGTGGGGTGTCTAATTCCCTTCTGAGGACTCCTCACCACAGCCAGTGCAGGTGTTCTGACCTTGATTCCATATGAGGTCCAACAAGGTGGTCTTTGCCTTAGTCCAAGGAAAAATGATGCACGTTTCTGTCACTGTTGCCGCCCCACGGTCCAGCCCTCCCCTGAGCCCACTCCCTGCGGCCCCTTCCCCTGATGTGTGTCAGTGCATGCTTGTGTGCACACCCAGAGAACCTACTCCACATTCCAAAACATCCTGCGGGCTTAGGACCTGTGATTGCCGCGGCAAACTCTGTGACAGGGAGACAGCCCTAGCCTAGGAGACCCTGACTCTCCCTTCATCTCAAGACTCTGCCCCTGCCAAGGCTGATTAGTAGTAACACACACACACACACACACACACACACACACACACTAAATAAAACTTCACAGGCTAAAACCTATTGACTGAAAATTTATAGAAGCAATATATAATTTTGGTACCTATTATCTGACTCACCTGACCAAGTAGAAATTATTATTCTTAAAGAAATCTTACAAAGACAGAATCTACAGTCATGAAATGATGATTAGGATAAGAAAACTTGACATTTATTTTTTTAAAAAACCTGATATCAAGTCAAACACGTTTAGGAAATGTAAAATAAGGATATTCCAGCCATGAGTCCTGAGGCTGACAAACGCCCCTCCCCGCCCCCACCGGCCCTGTAGCGAGTGCACAGGCGTGAGCGGCTGCAGGTGCGAGTGCACAGGAGTGAGCTGCCACAGGTGCGAGGGCGGAGGCACAGGGTCGCATGAGCTCCCAAGACCGGTTCTGAGGGAAGGGAAGTTGGAGACTGGGTTGGTCCCCACTGCGAAACGCCCCGGACCGGGGAGCAGCACAGACAGGAGTAATTGCAGCTCTACCTGCAGCCCCTCACCGCGCGCCCCCGCCTGCCCAGCGACCAGCGGCCCCGACTCCTCCAGCCTCGAGGAGCACGAGCCTCTCTCGGTCCTCTCTCTGGGGTCGCTGCCACCAGCCACAGGGTGAGGACGCCGGGCCGGGGCCCCAAGTCGGTCGTGCAGTGGTGGGCGCTGCGCGCGCTCGCACCCCTCCCTGCTTGGAGCCCCTCGACCGCAAGGGGCGGCCTCTGGTTCTGTGGGCGACGCCTGGACCAGGTCGCCGCTGGCTCGCGCGGTCGGGACAGGGAGGTGCAGCCGAGGAGCCCGATGTTGGGGCCGCGGGGTGCACGTCGGGTGCGGTGGTTGGCAGGTGTAAAGAGGTCTCTGCTCCCGGGTTGCGCACTGGTGATGGGGGCGCACAGATAGGGGATCCTGTTCGCTGGCCGCTGGCAGCGGATGTTCAGATGGGACTCCGTCCTATTTCCTAAAGCCTTCTGGAGGATCGACTACAAAATGTTAAAGTTCACTTTCAGCGTTTTCAGGCTTTATTGAGGGTCGCTGACTCTAAGAGACCTTCCTGGAGGGAAGTTTGTGACATACTAACATCTAAGCAAAGTTTGAAATAAAACTATTCCCACCTTTTTGTTTTCGGGTGTGGTGAACAGTTTTTCTTGATTACGTTAGGCTTTTCAACGACTTCTGACGACATTTGGCGAAGCTGCACAGCTCTTAACTTAAATGGTGACGGTTTTGTCGCCAAGTCGTGTCCCAACTCGTGCAACCCCATGGACTGAAGCCCTTCAGGCTCCTCTGTCCGTGGAATTATCCAGGCTGGAATACTTGAGTGGGTTGCCATTTGCTTTTCCAGGAGATCTTCTCGACCCAGGAATCGAACCCGAATCTTTGGCATTGTTGGCAGATTCTTTACCAACTGAGCTAATAGGGAAGCTCCTAAGTTAAATGAGCATTTTAAAAATACTTCTTTGAGCAGTTACCATAGACGCTCAAATATTTGAAAATTCTATTTATAGTAATGGGCGTGGTTTCTTTGGTTTTTTGTTTGGTTTTTGGCCTTTGGTTATTTTTTGTTGTTGGTTGGCTGGTTTGGGGATTTTTGGATTTTTTGGGGTGTGGGGATCGGGGTCAAGTTTGCATTAGGAAGAGATGATATCCAAATCAGGAGAAATGTTTATTTCATGGTATTCTGGTATGCACTGTTGCAGTTTAAAGTATCTAATCCTGGTTAAATCTCAGATTGGCTCCAGCAAAAAGATATTTTTATTGAGAATAGTTTGGGTTTGTCCTGTGGGTTTTTTAGTTTTTTTTTTTTTTTAGTACAATCTGCTTATTTAGCATGCTTCAAATTATAATAGATTGTAGTTAACACTGGTGGTTGGTGCAAGGAACAATGCTTTGTAACACAGAGATGGGTTGTCTTTTTCTACAGAAAATTTTTCTTGAGTTAGTAAATTTCCATGTAAAACTCTCAGGAGTGACTTTTGCTATAGCAGTTTGGTCTCTGTAATGAGGAATAAAGCATATCATTCCACTGTTGAAGATAATGGCATATATTATAAAGATAGGTATCTGGTACATAAAAGGAATTTGAGCTTTGAGTTTGGTGAATTAGTGTCCTCAGTGAAACGGCTTGTCTCTTCGAAGAGAAGAAGAGTGATAACCACATGGTGATGACCAGGGTTCTTTCCCTATACTGACCACCAAGAGGAAGAGAAGGAGACAGAGTGATTTTCAGAGGAATTGACGTTCATTTATCAACCACGTACCCTCGTTCCTTGCTATTTCTTAATTCCCAGAGAAATTAAAAACGTGGTTCCTAACCAGGATATTTGAATGGGAAAGGTCCTTTCAGTTCCCAGGCAAGTAACTGAATCCATTGTATAAGCGTTCATCTGCCTGTACCTTGGAAGTAACACTGAGAAATTCCTCTTCTCTAGTGGATGAAGTGGGCAGAATAGGAGGGTGGTGGAGCTTTTGGGGGCAAGTTTTCCAAAAGTTGGAGCAAAAGTGAATCACTGTCTTCAAAGGAACAGACTCATTAGATACCAGCATTTGGACATTAAGGTTTTTTGCAACATCATGTTGCTTGTTAGTAAAAATAATCCAGACCATAGAAAAATCCACGTGGTCAAATGCTTATTGGATGAAAAGTAATGAAAGAAAAAGAACCTTCTGAAGATTTTTAATATCTGGTATTTGACCCAGATCAGTTGACTGAGTACAAATAAAGGTTAGTAAAGAAATCTTCCAGACAGAGAATTTAGTCATTCAGCTGTGATGTGGACAAGAAACCTGCTATTTATTTTTTAAAAATTAATCCCAACTAAAATACTTTGTTAATTAGAAATAAATATGGATAAACTACAAGTAGTTTACTATGCTGTGTTTTCAAAGCAGGATCAAGGAATTAAAAGTTATTGAAGTTTTCTCTGGAAAGTACTTTCTCGTCATTATTTTTCAAATATTGTAACTCTGATTGCAGTGTGTATGAATCTCAGAGTAAAAACTGTTGAGGAATTGATATTCTCTGAGGTCAAATGACTGATTCAGAAGAGCAGGGTTAAATTGGAGGGTAAAACTGTCAGTAATACAAATTGATGTATGTTGTTTTAAATGTACTAGATTGAGGGCAATTTAGATTGATTATATAATTAGCATAATTGTGTGTATAATGGTTTATGCTAAATTACCACACAACTCCCCAAATTTCAGCAGCACAACATCATGGTTCCCACCTCACAGCACTGGGTGGGTATTCAGTTTGGGGAGGCTGCACTCCTTCAGACGGTCACTCAGGAACCCAGACTCCTCCCATCCTGTGCCGTCTCCACTCCCTTAGACCTCATCCCCCTCTGCATCCATCAGCAGAAGAGGGCAAGAATATGGAGAAATGCATATGGAAGTTTATGATGAGCCAGCTCTCCAAGGATACAGGCCAGTTTCTCTGCTGCTGTTTTGGCCACAGTTCATTTCTGTGGCCACAAAAGTGACCGGGAAGTCTTCCAACTGTTCTCCCCAGGAAGGGAGAACAATTAAAGTTGTCAGTAACTGTGAGTAATTCATTTCGGTTTAATTAGTTTTCAAATCTTTTTTGGCTGTTTGCCATACACCAAGAGCTGTGCTAAGTGTGACCTGAGAATTGATTGAGCAGCATCTTGATCTTGGAGGAGTTCTGAATCCTCAGGAGAGAAGACAGAGTATGAAGTGTCTGCCATCCTAGAAGAAAGGGACTAAGAGAACCTGCTTTGAAAGTTCAGGGAATGATTCTAGATTTGAAAGCTGCCTAGAAATGATAGGATTTGGACTCCACTTTCAGAGATGAAGAAGATATGATTGTGAAAGAAGCTGGCATCAGGAGCTGAAGAAACAGGTCCTGCAATACAAGGTATCATAAAGAATATTATGTCATCATTGTTCAGTTGCTAAGTTGTGTCAGACTCTTTGTGACCCCATGGACTGCAACACATCTGGTTCCTATGTATTCCACTCCCTCCTGGAGTTTGCTCAAATATATGTCCATTGAGTCGGTGATGGTATCTGACTATCTCATCCTCTGCTGCCCCCATCTCCTTTTGATTACAGTCCTTCCCAGGATCACAGTCTTTTCCAATGGCTTTTCATATCAGATGGCCAAAATATTGGAGTATAAGCATCAGTCTTTCCAATGAATATTCAGGGTTACTTTCCTTTAGGCTTGAATGGTTGGGTCTCCTTGCAGTCCAAGGGATTCTCAAGAGTCTACTCCAGCACCACAGTTCAAAAGCATCAGTTCTTTGGCACTCAGCTTTCTTTACAGTGCAACTCTCACATCCATATATGACTACTGGAAAACCATAGTTTTGACTATATGGACCTTTGTTGGCAAATTGATGTCTCTGCTCTTTAATAGGCTGTCGAGGTTTGTCAGAGCTTTCCTACGAAGGAGTAAGTGTCTTTTAATTTCCTGACTGCTGTCACCATCTGCAGGGATTTTGGAGCTCAAGAAAAGAAAATCTGTCACTGCTTCCACTTTTCCCCCTTCTGTTTGCCAGGAAGTAATGAGACCAGATGTCATAATCTTAGTTTTTTGAATGTTGAGTTTCAAGCCAGCTTTTTCATTCTCCTTTTTACCCGTATCAAGAGGCTCTTTGGTTCCTCTTCACTTTCTGCCATTAGAGTGGTATCACCTGTATTTCTGAGGTTGTTGATATTTTCCCAGCAATCTTGATTACAGCTTGTGATTCATCCAGCCTGGCATTTCACATGATGTACTCTGCATGGAAGTTAAATAAGCAGGGTGACAATATACAGACTTGTCATACTCCTGTCCCAATTTGGAACCAGTCCCTTGTTTCATGTCTGATTCTAGCTGTTGTTTCTTGACCCACATACAGGTTTCTCAGAAGTCAGGTAAGGTGGCCTGATACTCTCATCTCTTTAAGAGTTTTCCACAGTTTTTGTGATCCACACAGTCAAAGGCTTTAGCATAGTAAATGAAGCAGTAGTAGATGTTTTTCTGAAACTCCCTTGCTTTTTCTATGATCCAATGATGTTGGCAATTTGATATCTGGTTCTTCTGCCTCTTCAATACCCAGCTTGTACATCTGGAAGTTCCCAGTTCATGTACTGTTGAAGCCTGACTTGAAGGATTTTGAATATAATTTAGAGAAACGAGTACAATTTTACAGTAGTTTGAACATTCTTTGGCATTGCCCTTTTGAATTGAAATGAACACTGACCTTTTCCAGTCCTGTGGCCACAGGTGAGTTTTCCAAATTTGCTGATACATCGAGTGCAGCACTTTAACAGCACTGTCTTTTAGGATTAGCTCAACTGAAATTTTGTCACCTCCACTAGCTTTGTTTGTAGTAAGCTTTCCTCAGGCCCACTTGACTTCACACTCCAGGATGTCTGGCTCTAGGTGAGTGCCTACACCATCGTTACCATGGTCATTAAGATTTTTTTCTATAGTTCTTCTGTGTATTCTTGCCACCTCTTCTTAATCTCTTCTGTTTCTATTACGTCTTTACATTTCTGTCTTTTATGGTGTTTTATTGTGTCCATGTTTGCATGAAATGTTCACTTAAATCTCCAATTTTCTTAAATATTATGCAGCCATTAAATTCACATTTTCTAAAATTACAAATGGATGGAATAACTACACTCATATTAAGTGAAAAAGAGACCCATAAGGTAAGGTAATTCCATTTTTAGAATTCTGTGTAAATTTAGATGAAGTCATATATATATATGTTGAATGATAGTTTTGTAATTTTCTAAACTGTTTTATTAATATAAATAGAAGAGTATCATAAATTGCTTTGATTTGATAGACTAATTTCTATCCACCACACACAGAGCTGGGTGTAGACAGGTGATCCTAGCAGGTTCCCACCATCTCTCTGCTGGTGAGGTGGCAACAACCTCCTCTCTCCTCTCTGCTGTGGACCCAGGTCCTGGCACAAGTCCTCAAGAGCGTGTGAAGACAGACATCCCCAAAACACTGAGCCTTACAGATTTTGGTTTGCTCTGACGGTAAGATAGTGAATGTGGCAAGTGTAAATGTTGACTTCTTTTGCTGACAAAATCATGGAGCCATGCAGCACTCCTGCCATTTCTGAAAATAGCCACCAGAGGGCAGTGTGGCTGCTTCTGACCAACACTGTCCCATTCAAAGCTGACCCAAGTTAGCCTTCATCAGAACACGTTTTATAAACTTACAGGACCTCTTTAAGGTATATTGATTTGCTTTTCTTCTTTAATCTTATTTGGAAGTTAATGGAAATTCACTACAAATAACAAACATAAAGTGAGCCACTAAGTTTTACCTTGTGACATGTAGACACGTAAAATTATGTGTCCAATCCCCTTCTTTGTCCACCTGTCCCTTCCTCTCTATATCCATCTGTAAACATCTGTGTAACCCATCTTATGATAATCTACATACCATATCAGATATTTTTCAATCATGTTCCTACTTCTTTGTGATGTGAATGTTTCAGTAGTAAGTGGGCTGCTTATAAGACAGCAGGAAACAGTGTGAAGGTGAGCAGTAGGTCTCAGTGGGGGTCGTCCAAACGGGGAGATCTGCTTAGCACAGCCAGGGTCAGATCCATCCACACTGTCTCCTATCCTTAAAGCACTGAGTCTACCCTCTTGGGGGAACTTTGCTAAAATTTTGATTATTTTAAGGAACATCAGGGTTAAGATAATGAGTGATGGTTGTAGTAATTCTTGGAGAGAGATAAGGTTATGATGTTAATGACCTGGTACTCTGCCTCCAACAACCTTCATTCTGTTATCACCACTGCTCAGCCATCTGGGAGTAGAGACTGCATCTTGATTTTGACTGTTACAGCCCTCCAGCCCAGTACTGAGCAAAGTAGATGTGCCACTACGGCTGAATAAATACATTTGGGATCAGGACCTGACAGATTTGAGAATGTATTTGAAACTGGGATTCTCCCAGACCTGTCCCAATATGAGGTCATCATAAATCAGCTACCTCCTCACCTTCCAGGCCCTGTATACCTGCTGGCCTTCCCACAGGACCTCTCAGACAGGATGTACTTGGTCCTAGGTGTTTCTCAGATCAAATCTTAGCATCTTCTCTGACTCCTCTCAGGCGCTTTGGCCTCCTTAATTGTCCTGCTGTGTGACTCTCCACTCTAGGGCTCAGGGATCACCTCTGATTCCCTTCAGGATGTAATGTCAGAATAGTGGATTCTGTGGAGCTAAAGCTTAATGATGGGCTTTGATTGACAAGACAATAATTACATGGACAAGGATACCTTCGACATGACTACCTTTTGTAGAAATAATTTTACTTATTCGTTTATGGTTGTACTGTGTCTTCGTTGCACAGGCTTTTCTCTAGTTGTGGTAAACAGTGGCTACTCTGTAGTTGTGGTGTGGGGGCTTCTCACTGCGGTGGCTCCCCTTGTTGTGGAGCAGGGGCTCTAGCGCATTCGTTCCAGCTTCAGGAGTTGCCGCATGTGGGCTCAGTAGTTGCTGTTCCTGGGCTCTAGAGTACAGGCTCAATAGTTGTGGTGCATGGGCTTAGCTGCTTGAAGGTATATGGAATCGAACCTGTGTCTCCTGCATTGGCAGGGAGATTTTTAACCACTGAGCCACCGGGAAAGCCCATGATTATATGTTAATGATGTTGTTTTCCTTGAACAATTAATTTTAAACTTGATGGCATAAAAAGAAATGTTTTTTCTCTGAAGTCAGCATGGTTGCTGAATGTCAGCCTTTCTCTGATAATGCTCTAAAAGACCTGATACACACCAAGAGAAACATAAGTAAATTGTGTCATATTATAATGTGGTATAGAGTAGTATAACTTTAAAAGCTACTGTTATCCATTTGTGATAGAGTAATTGCTTACTGGATATGAATATTGACCTGTCAAATTTCTCGTGCTTTGATGAAATTCAGTGCTTTTTTCCTACACTAAATACCAGGTTGAAGAGGTCAAGACAGAATAATTTTAAGATGAATTGTTCATTTCCCCACTGTGGAGTCTCTTTTCTTGATGTTTCTTTGTTCCCAGAGAAATGAGAGATGTGATTTCTAACCAGGATATTTGAGAGGAAAAGATTCAGTTCCTCAGGAGGTGACTGGGAACCATTTGGTTGCTTTCATCTGCATGGACCTTGGAAGCAGATGAGAGAAAATCCTTTTCTATTTTCAAATGAAGTGGAGAGACCAGAGGGTGGACTCTTTGGGAAAACAGTTCAAAAAGGTGAATCAAAACTGAGTATCTGTCAAAAAAGAGTATCTGTCATCAAAGAATTAGGCCTATTGGACACCCACAGTTTGACCTAGGGACATGTGGGCCATCATCGTGATTTCTAGGAAAAATAATCAACACCAATGAAAACTCCACATGGTATAAATGTGTTACTAACTGAAAATCGATGGTCAGTTGACCATCAGTTGACCAAGTACAAATAATGATCATAAAGAAATCTTACAAAAAGAAGAAACTCTTAAAAAGGCACATCTATAAATCATAAATTATAATTTAGATAAGAAACCTTGCTATTAATTTGAAAAAATTTTGATCCCAAGTAAAACAGTTACAGTAAATTAAAAATAAACAGTAATATCCAGGTCAGGGGTGCTGAGGGTGGAAGGTGGCTGTGAGGTCCGGCTCCTCCAGCGACTGCGCAGGTGTGAGCGGGGGCACGTGCGAGGGCGAAGCCTTGGAGACACCAGAGATCCCAGGACCCTTGCTGAGGGAAGGGAAGGTGAAGGCTGGGTCGGTCCCCACTGCGAGACGCCCCGGACCAGGGAGCAGCACAGACACGAGTAAGTGCAGCTCTGTCCGCAGCCCCTCACCGCGTGCCACCGCCTGCCCAAAGGCCAGCGGCCCCTGACTCCTCCAGCCCAGAGGAGCGCGAGCCACGCTCGGTCCTCGGCTCCGGGGTCACCGCCACCGGCGGCAGCCACCGGCCGCAGGGTGGGGACGGCGGGCTGGGGCCCCAAGGTGGTCGTGGAGCGGTGGGGGCCCCGTGTGCTCACAGCCCTACCTGCCGGGTGCCTCTCAAGTCTTGTCTCAGCAGGGCTGGCCCACGACCGCAGGGGGCAGCTTCTGGGTCTACCGACGCTGCCTGGGCCCACTTGCTGCGGGCGCGCGGATCCAGGATGGGGAGGTGCCGCCGAGGAGCGCGAAATAGAGGCCACCGGGTGTGCGTCGGGAGCTGTGGGTCCACAGGTGTGAAGGGGTCTCTGCTCCCGGGATGCGCGCGGGTGATGGGGGCGCACAGCTAGGGGATCCTGTTCGCTGGCCGCCAGCAGCGGGTGTTCAAATGGAACACCCTGCTCTTTCCTAAAGCCTTCTGGAGGATCAGCTACAAAAGGTTAAAGTTCACTTTCACATTCAGTGTTTTCGGGCTTTATTGACTGACTGTGACTAACTCACCTAGCACTTCCACGAGGGTAATTCGTGACATGCTAACACCTAAGCAAAGTTTCAAGTAAAGTACTACCCGCCTTTTAATGTTTTTGCATATGGAGGACTTTTTGAACAGTTTGTTTTTGTTTCTGTTCATCTTTTCCAGTAACAGACCATTGAGAAATGGCATTACTCTAAGTTAAAGGAGCATTTAAAATGTTTATTTCTGCACAGTAATCATAGATGCTAAAGTATTTTCAAATTCTAGCATCTACAAAGAGCTCAGTTGTTGTTTGGTAAATTTTGCTTGAAGGGAAGACTTTGGGATCCAGAGAAATGTTCATTTCATGAAATTGTGGTGCACCCTTTTGAAATTTTGAATATCTAATCCAGGGGAATTCTCAGATTTTTTCCAGAAAATGCATATTTTGTTTGAGAATAGTTTGTGTTTTGTTCTGTGGTTTTTTATGTGCTGTTTGTTGGTACCTACTTCAGTTCAGTTCAGTTCAGTTGCTCAGTGGTGTCCAACTCTTTGTGACCTCATGAATCGCAGCAGGCCAGGCCTCCCTGTCCATCACCAACTCCTGGAGTTTACTCAAACTCATGTCCATCGAGTGGTGATGCCATCCAGCCATCTTGTCCTATGTCATCCCCTTTTCCTCCTGCCCTCAATCCTTCCCAGCATCAGGGTCTTTTCCAATGAGTCAACTCTTTGCATGAGGTGGCCAAAGTATTGGAGTTACAGCTTCAGCACCAGTCCTTCCAACAAACACCCAGGACTGATCTCCTTTAGGATGGACTGGTTGTATCTCCTTGCAGTCCAAGGGACTCTGAAAAGTCTTCTCCAACACCACAGTTTAAAAGCATCAACTTTTCAGCGCTCAGCTTTCTTCACAGTCCAGCTCTCACATCCATACATGACCACTGGAAAAACCATAGCCTTGGTTAGATGTACCTTTGTTGGCATAGTAATGTCTCTGCTTTTTAATACGCTACCTAGATTGGTCATAACTTTCCTTCCAAGCTGTAAGCATCTTTTAATTTCGTGGCTGCAATCACCATCTGCAGTGATTTTGGGGTAAAAAAAAAAATAGTCTGACGCTGTTTCCACTGTTTCCCCATGTATTTCCCATGAAATGATGGGACCAGATGCCATGATTTAGTTTTCTGAATGTTGAACTTTAAGCCCAGTTTTTCACTTTCCTCTTTCACTTTCATCAAATACCAGACCACCTGACCTGCCTCTTGAGAAACCTGTATGCAGGCCAGAAAGCAACAGTTAGAACTGGACATGGAACAAGAGACTCGTTCCAAATAGGAAAAGGAGTTCGTCAAGGCTGTATATTGTCACTGTGCTTATTTAACGTATATGCAGAGTACATCATGAGAAATGCTGGGCTGGAAGAAGCACAAGCTGGAATCAAGATTGCCAGGAGAAATATCAATAACCTCAGATAAGCAGATGACACCACCCTTATGGCAGAAAGTGAAGAGGAACTAAAAAGCCTCTTGATAAAAGTGAAAGAGGTACCTACTTAGGAGGCTTCAAAACAATCTAATTAAAACTAGTGATTTGTGCGAAGTACTATGCTTTGTAACGCAGAGATAGGTTGTCTTTCTCTATCAAAATTGTTTCTTGAGTTAGCAAATTTTTCACTTGAAACAGTCAGGAATCACTTTTGAAAACCCTGCAGTTCTGACTCTGATAATTAGGAAGTACGTTGTTTCACTGTTGAAGATAATGGCAGACATTTCAAAGATGGACAGCAGGTACACAAGAGAAATTCGAGTACTAAGTCTGGTCCATTGGTGTCCGCAATAAAACTGAGTTTCTCTTCTAAGGGAAAAAGAAGGAAAACCACCTGGTGATGACCATGGGCTCTTTCTGTACACCAAACACCCAGAGGAAGGGGAGGAGGTGGAGTGATTCTCAGATGGATTGGCCGTGTGTTCATTTACCCACCACAGACTTCCTTTCCTTGATGTTTCTTGACTCCCAAAGAAATTAGAAGTGTGGTTCCTTACCAGGATATTTGAATGGGAAAGATCCTTTCAATTCCTAGGCAGGTAACAAGATCCATTGTGTAGCTTACATCTCCCTGAACCTTGTGAGTAGCTCTGAGAACATCTTCTCTATTGAGTTAGTCAGAAAGGGAGGGTGGTGAAGCCTTGGGGGGCAAATATTCCAAAAGCTGGACCAAAACTTAATCAGTGTCTTCAAAGAAATAGAGTGGATGCCAGAATTTTGCTCTTAAGGCCTCTTGCAATATTAGGGAAATCATTAGTAGTGCAAGTATTCCACACCATGTAAAACTCCATGAGATCAGATGTATTATTGACTGAAAATTGATGAAAGGAAAAGAACATTTTGAATTTTTCTGATAGCTGATATTTGACCCAAGTCAGTCAACCACATACAAGCACTGATCACTAAAGAATCTCCCAAAAAGAAGATTTATAGTCATTCAGCTGTGATGTGGTTAAGAAACCTGTCATTTATTTTTTTCATGAATCCCAACTAAAATATTTTCAATTAGAAATAAATATGGATAAACCACAAATAGTTTGCTGTGCTGTATTTTCAAATCAAGATCAAGGAATTAAAATCTATTGAAGTTTTCTCTTGAAAATACTTTCTCTACACTGTGTTTCAAATATTATTATAATTCTTATTGCAGTTTTTATTAAGTTCAGAATTTAAAATGTTGAGCAATTGAAGTTCTCTGAGTTCAAATGACTGAGTCAGAATTAACAAGGTTAAACTGGATGTTAAAACTATTAATGGTACACAATTTACTTTTGTTATTTAAATGTACTAGATTGATGGCTATTTAAGTTCATCCTATGATTAACATTTTTGTGGGTATAATAGTTTATGCTGAATTATCAAATAACTTAAAATTTCAGAAGTGCATCACTCTGTTTCCCACATGAGAGCGCTGAGTGGGCGCTCACCCTGGGGAGACTGCACGTCCTCCTGTGGTCACTCAGGAACCCAGACGTCTCCTGTCCTCGGCCTCTTCCATCCCAGGGTCTCATCCCCGTCTGTGTCCATCAGCAGAAGGGGCAGGAACTTGGAGAAATGCCTGTGGGAGGTTATAATCGGCCGGGATGCAACATCAGTTTCTCTCCTACTTCATTGGCCATGATGTGGTCCTGTGGCCACAGAAGAAGCTGGGAATTCTTCCAGTGGTGTGCCCCAGGAAGGGCAGTGAATTTTCATGGAAAATCAACTTTGTCCATGTAAAAGGAAAATAGTTACCCCCAAGGAAAAGTAAAAATGAGAGAAATTCCTTAAGAGAGCATAGAAAATGGGTCCATTCTAGCTAACAGAGACCCCAAATAAAACAGACTCATGTGGTCATAACAGACCTGAGATTAAGTAATGTTCTCTGAGTTCTTAGAAAAGCACAAACAAAAGCTCTGAAGAGTTCTGATTCTGCTAAGGGTCCTACCTGTGAGCACTCTGAAGGAGAAGTTCCGTTGACCACCAGTCATGGCAGACTGCGGTCCAGCTGCAAGGATTTGTGCTTAGGCTGCACAGGGCCATTTAAACCCCTTACAAGTCTCCCTGCTGAGCATTCTGGGGCTTTTGCTTTTTAAAAGTTCTTCCCTCCCTTCAGCCCCGGGAATGTCCTTTCAGTTACAGGCAAGAATTTTGTGTCCCCAGCTTGCAAACCTTGCGGACAGTACCCTGTCTTTTTGCTTCAGGTAACACTGATTGTTTTCTGGAATTTATTTATAATTTTAGGATGACATCAGCAAAAACAAGCAACTCATTTAGACCTATTGTGTTTCAAATCTCTATTGAATATTTACCATACAATCTGTACTGTGCACAGAGCAGACAGAGAATTGATTGAGCAGTGTCGTGGTCTGGCAGGAGCTCTTAAAGGAGAGGAGACATGGTATGAAGGGCCTGCTGTCCTAGCAGAAATGATATAAGAGAACCTGCTTTGAAAATTCAAGGGATGATACTAGATTTGGACGTTGCCTTGAGCTGATAGGTTCTGGACTCCACTTTCAGAGATGAACAAGATATGTTCAGAGAAAGCTGGCATCAGGAGCTATAGAAACATGTCCTGTGATACAAGGTATCATAAGGAATATTTGCAGCTATTAAACTCACATCTTTTAAATTTATAAATGGGTAGAATAATTGCTCATATGAAGTGAAAAGGTCACCGATAATATCAGGTAATCCCATTTTTTAAAATGCTATGCATTTGTAGGTGAAATTATACAGACAACTTTGAATGATAGTTTCCCAAATTTCTAAAACATTTTGTTAACATAATCAGAAGAAAGCTATGAAAATTCTTTGGTTAGATAGACTAATCTCCACACTAGACACACAGAGCCGGGGTACAGGCAAGTGACCCCACCCAGCAGGTTCCCACCCTTTCCCTGCAGGTCCCAAGAGGTTCCTACATCTTCTCTATTCTCTGTTGTGGTCCCAGGGTCCCAGCGGCTCAACCGTCACTCTCTGAAATTCCGCAATTGGAAAGTGATGTATTGTGTCATAATCAAGAAAATGATTTCCACTAGACGGCTTCCCCCAAACACTGAGACTTGCAGAATTTGGTTTACTCTCATAGCAAGACTGTGAAGTTGGCAAATGATTGTTGGCCTCTTTGGCAAACAGACCCATGGAGCCCTGCTGTGCTCCTGCTATTTCTCACAGGGCCACCAGGGGGCAGTGTGTAGCTGCTTATCGCAAACACTGCAAGGAGATCCAACTAGTCAATCCTAAAGGAAATCAATCCTGAATATTCATTGGAAGGACTGGTGCTGGAGCGGAATCTCCAATACTTTGGCCACCTGATGCGAAGAACCAACTTATTGGAAAAGAGCCTGATGCTAGGGAAGATTGAAGGCGGGAGGAGAAGGGGACGACAGAGGATGAGATGGCTGGATGGCATCCACAACTCAACGGACAAGAGTTTGCGTCACATCCGGGAGTTGGTGATGGACAGGGAAGCCTGCTTTGCTGCAGTCCATGGGGTTGCAAAGAGTCAGACATGACTGAGCCACTGAACTGACTGACTGCCCCATTCCAAAGAGTCCTTTTCAAGTTAAACTTCCTCAGAACATGTTTTATAAACTTAAGAGAATTTCCTTAAAATATATTGACAAGCTTTTCATCTCCAGTTTCATTTGGAAACTAGTGAAAAGCCATTACAAGTAACACATGTAAGGTGAGCCACTATTTGAAGGTTGTCCCTTGTGACACATATGTGTGCTCAGTCACTCAGTCAAGTCCAACTCTTTGTGATCCCATGGACTATAGAGAAGGCCCCTCTGTCCATGGGATTTTTCTGGCAATAATACTGAAGTAGGTTGCCATTTCCTACTCCAGAGGCATCTTCTCGACCCAGGGACGGAACCCGTATCTCATGTGTTTCCGGCATTGGCAGGTGGGTTCTTTACCACTGCACCAGCAGGATACTGATGGGTAAAATTCTGTGCCAGCTCGTTTATTTCTTCTTCTCTCCCCCTCATCCATATATAGGTAACTATCTCTCTGAAACTCCTTTGGAAAATCTATGTAACATTATCAGAGATATTTTTCAATCATGTTGATCCTTCCTTGTGATGTCAGTGTTTGTGTAGCAAATCCTCTGCTCCTATGACACTGGGTATGTGCCTAACATCTGGGAGACAGTGTTCAGGTGGGCAGTAGGTCTCAGTGGGAGTCAGTCCAGGGGGAGGTCTGCTCAGAACAGCCAAGGCCAGCCCACATTGTCTTCTATCCCCAAAACACTGAGAATGCTTCCCTCCCCGCCACCCATCTGCCCCAACCCCACGGAACTTGGCTAAAATCCTTTATATGCTGAGGAAGCATTAGGGTCAGAACAATGAACAGTGGTTATAATAATTGTGAGTGCGAGATGAAATTCTGTGTTTTCAGGTCTTATATTTATGTGTCTTGATTCATTATTTTATGATTTTAAATTTTAATTGTAATATTCTATACAGTGCTGTTAGTTTCTGCTGTGCAGCAAAGTGAATCAGTTATATATATCTTACCCTCTTTTTTTAGATTCTATTCCCATGTAGGTTATTAGAAAGAATTGAGTACTGTTCCCTGTGCTCTCCAGTCGATCTTCATCTATTTTATGTATAGTAGAGTGTATTTTTCAATCCTAATTTATCCTTCACCCTTCTTTCGTAACCATAATTTTGTTCTCTATAGCTGAGACTCTATTTCTGTAAAAAGGACGGCAGGTGATGGCCAGGACATAGCACTGAACCACAGAGATTTATGCTTCTTACTAGTCATTAATGACTGATACTACTGTTCCATCAGTGTTGTTTCACACAGTCTATAGCTGTCTGACTTAGACCTGCATCCACCCATCTCCTGCCTCTGTTTCTCACCCTCTACTACTTCCTTCTGAGATTCACTCACTTCTTCCTTAAATACGCCCTTCCTCCTTCTCAGTGAGAGCCTAACAGTGGCAAACACTTGTAGTCTTTTTCATCTGAAAATATTCTTAATTCGTTTTTGTTCTTGAGTGATAGTTTGTATGTTAGTAGGTCAATCAGTCCGACTCTTTGCAACCTCATGGACTGTAGCTCAGCAGTCTCCTCTGTCCACGGAGTTCTCCTGTAGGTTGCCATTTCCTTCTCCAGGGGATCTTCCCAACCCAGGGATTAAAGCTGGGTCTCCTGCATTGCAGGCAGGTAGTTTAGAATGAAAAATTCAGACTGTTTCTGCACAAGGAACCACAGAGCCCCATAGGGCCACCAGAGGGCACTGTCTGACTTAGACATGCATCCACCCATCTTCTGCCTCTGTGTTTTTCTGCTAATGACAAACACACTGCCCCTTTTAAAAGGGGCCCTTTCCTAGTTAGTCTTCATCAGGAAATGGCAACGGACTCCAGTATTCCTACCTGGAGAATTCCGTGGACAGGGGAGCTTGGTGGGCTACAGCCCATGGGGTCACAAAGAGTCGGACATGACTGAGCAACACACACACAGAAAATGATTTGGAAAAAGTCAAAATCCAGGACAAGTAAAAATGCAAGGTGAGCCAGTGACTGGAAGTTTTCCCTTGTGACACATTACAAAGATTTAAAGTCCGTGTCTAAACCCCCTATCTCTGTCCACCGCTGTCCCCTCCTTTCTTCATTCATCTATAAACATCTGTCTATGAAAAATATATTTTCACAATATATGCAATGTGTTAGAGACATTTTTCAATCATGTTGCCCCTTCTTTCTGATATGAATCTTTGGGTGGCACTCTGTTTATGAGATCTAATCCCTTAAATCTGTTTGTCACTCCCACTGTATAATTGTACGGTATTTGATTGTAGGTCATATCTGAATGGTCTAGTGGTTTTCTCTACTTTCTTCAATTTAAGCCTGAATTTTGCAACAGGAGCTCATGATCTGAGCCACAGTCAGCTCCCAGCCTTGTTTTTGCTGATTTTGTAGAGGTTCTTTGTCTTCGGCTACAAAGAATATAATCAGTCTGATTTTTGTATTGACCACCTGGTGATGTCCATGGATAGAGTCATGTTCTGTGTTGTTGTTAAAGTGTGTTTTCTATGACCAGCATGTTCTCTTGACAAAATATTAGTCTTGGCCGGGCTTCATTTTGCACTACAAGGCCAAACTTACCTATTATTCTGGGTATCTCTTGACTTCCTCCTTTTGCATTCCAATCCTTTATGATGAAAATGATATCTTTTACTTTCCTTTTTTTTTTTTCTTTTTTTTTTTTGGTGTTAGTTCTAGGAGGTCTTGTAGGTCTTCATAGAACTGGTCAACTTCAGCATCTTTGGCAGTAGTGTTTGGGGCATAGACTAGGATTGCTATGATATTGAATTATTTGCCTTGGAAACGAACAGAGATCATTCTGCCGTTTATGAGACTGCACTCAAGTGCTGCATTTTCGACTCTTTTGTTGACTACAAGTCCTACTCCATTTTTTCTAAGGGATTCTTGCCCACAGTAATAGATATAATGGACATCTGAATTAAATTCACCCATTCCAGTCTATTTTAGTTCACTGATTCCTAAGATGTCGATATTCACTCTTGCCATCTTCTGCTTGACCACATCCAATTTACCTTGATTCATGAACGTAACACTTCAGGTTCCTATGCAATACTGTTCTTTACTCCGTGGGACTTTACTTTCACCACCAGACACATTCACAACTGAGCATCATTTCTGCTTTGGCCCAGCCACTTCTTTCTCTCTGGAGCTGTTAGAAGTTGCCCTCCACTCTTCCCCAGTTTAGCATACTGAATGCCTTCTGACCTGGGGGGTTCTTCTTGCAGTGTCATATCTTTTTGCCTTTTCTTACTGTTTATGGTGTTCTCCAGACAAGAATACTGAAGTTGGTGCCATTTCATCCCCTAGTGGGCCATTTCTTGTCAGCACTCTTCATTATGACCCATATTGGGTGACTCTGTATACCATGGCTGATGGCTTCACTGAGTGTGAAAACCCCTTCATCATTACAAGGCTGTTATCCATGCC